TCCTGTTTGTTAATTGGAAGATATAAAAAACACAGCATTATTTTTATGTAAGAAAAAGCCCAGAAGAAGAATGAAGAAAAAAAATACATTCTATCATTACATCAGGTTTCCCCTAAACAAATAGTGGCGCGCACGCGCTGGCTGAAATATGAGCGCCGACGCTAGGGGCGCCAGCCAGTACCCCAAAAAAGATATATATATATTTTGAGTTATTCTTAAAATAATAATAAGTGGCGACTTTTCATTTGATTGTTTTTATAATTAGTATTTTGTGTCTGGCATAGGGCGGTCGCCTAGGCGCGCAGATCTGGGGCGCTGCGCTGTAGCTCCTATGTAGGAGGGAAAAAAACATTTTGACCGTTGGCGCTCACAAATGTTCGCCTGATGTAACAACATTCATAATGTAAGTAAATGACTAACTGTAAATGTAAAAAAAAAATCTCTTTGTTTTCCCGGGGCATACCCGGGAACCCCCTAGAGGATGTGACGTCCATCCCCCAATCAAACAACTATTCACACAAACTGAATCATTATAGACTTCATTCTGTTTTTGCAGGTATTTGTCTTTTGTAGAGATTTTTCATTTATTCTTTACACATAAAATGTCACCTAAAATCTCACCATAGGGGCAGCAAATGGTCTAGAACGGCCCTGGTACTAGGCCTCAAGAGCCTTCTGTGCTGACACATATAACCATATGGAGGGCGCACTCCCACGCGCACACACTAAAAATTCCATGCGCTCACATTAGCTGTCCCACATGCCTTAGCACCGCTGCTATGACTCCACCTAGGGGAAACACTGATACATTACTAGCTGGACAAAGAAAGACTCCACTAAGACGTCACTCAAATACTCTCTAATAACTACATGCATCAATAATATTTGTACCTTGTAACCTGAGGGCCTGTACTACGAGCCCGGTTCAACATAACCGATATTGTTTTGAGTAACCCCGCTACCAAATCCAAAACAAACGCGCTCTCGCTAAGCGGGTCCTATGACGCTGGTTATCAACTCGTTAACTCAAGTCAGCTTTGCCCTATCTATAGTGCGTGTTCACATAAAAGGGCGGGGTTAGCACATTGACCAATTACAAACATGAGAAGCGTACGACAGCGCAGCGCATTAGGCGCATTCACACCGCAGTACTTTCTCACAAAAGGTTCATGAGAACTCTTTAGTTCTTTAGTCATGAACTGGGGAAGATTAGGCAAATGACGCCCACTGACGTCACTTCTTCTTTCTTCTGCTTATTGGTTTACTGGCAGGCCGCAAACAACTTCACGCGTATACTGCCACCTGAAAGTCCCTGTCCGGAATTCCCCGGGAGTTGGACTGGCTTCCGAGAAAACGCCAGAACGCCGGAATTCCCCGGAGTTGGGGACTGGCTTCCGAGTAAATCGCCAGAACGCCGACACCTCCTCATCTCCACCGCTCCCGTGTTTTCTTTTGTGTTGCCATAAGTTAGTCTCTCTGCGTTTGTGCACTGGGCTAATGCTAATGCAAGGATATTAAAATGGCGGCTTCACAAAAACTTTTGGGAGTTTTACGGGGCGTGGTTTGCATTCCGCCCAGCCAATCAGACATAGGAACCTTTTTCTCCCACGAAACTCCCTGGAAAAGGGGGTAAAAAAGGTTCTGATGTACTAATTTTAGTTCAGGCTCTTTTTGGTGTGAACGCGACATTTCGGAACTATATTGGAACTAAAGTGGGAAAAGTACTGCGGTGTGAACGCGGCAATAATATACTTCCTGAATTAAAAGTGAACTATAATATCAGACAAATATTAAGACTTTAAACATCCATGACTTAAACACTTTATCCAGGATAAAAGCCACATAGCTGCACAGGTCTGCAAGGTGAATACAGTTGGTAAAAAAAAAAAGTGTTTGAACGCGCACATTAACAGGTTAATGATATCACTGCCCCGTCTAAGACACGATCTGACTTTAATTATATTTGACTCGAGTTTTTCGTCAACTTAATGTGTTGCTTAAAATAATACTTCTGCATACAGTATGTGACACTGAGTGTTGCACGGCCAGATACGGCTCAGCTTGACTCAGATAAGGAAATATATGACACATGAATGATAATGGGACACATCGACGTCTGCACTCACAGTGCCGCGGACTGTACTTAATGTTAGTTTGATCCGGTTACTTACGTTGTGGCAGATATTTAATTAAGCTTTCTTAACGCTAATGTTATAATAGTCAGATTGCTCTGAAGATGGGAGGTGATATTCTATTAATGTTCGCGTTCACACGTTTTTTGCCGACCGTCTTTCCTGCAGTCCTACAGTCTAAACTGTATTTCCTTTCTCCTGTAATATGACTTGATCGCTTTAAACTCCGCACACTGATTGGTCAGCAGGCGGTGATTTCACTGAGTTGATCTCTTATCCTGGAACCTAACCTGCTCCGGACCAGGCTAGCTGTTCAGCATAAGTTACCATGGAGATCTAGCCCGCTAAGAAGTGAATCAGCGTCGTAGGACCGGAAACCCAGAGTTTTCCCTGAAGTTAGCTTGCTAAGTGAAAATCCGGCTTCGTAGTACAGGCCTCTGGTCTAGTAGCATCAGACCTGCAGACTGTACTCCTGCTGCTTCATGACCTGGCAACAAACATCATCATCTGGTATCCAGGAGCAGCAAACTCTGTCTGCTTCAGACCTTAAACACTTTAAAAATGTTTCCAAATTACCCCATAATTATCTATTAAGCGCTGTAATGGCTTAATAAGAATCTAAATTGCCTCATGAATTACGGCAGCCGACCCCAGACCACTTTCTTTTTCGATTTCACTTCAGTTATAATCGTTAAAGCAGTATTTTACTGACTTTATATTCAGCTATGTCATCCCACCTGGGGATACAATTCCTTTTAATAGACTTAAAACAAATCTTTCAATTCTTATCTTTCAATTCTTAATCTTATAAATAAAAGTTCAAGTTTGATCTTATACACACTGAAAGCTGATTGGCTAACGTTACTCACTGAGTCTAATGGTGAAGCTGCTGCTCTATTCTGTCTCCCGTTACTCACATTTTGAGGATTAATCTGAATTATGCTTTATTTCAGGCAATACGTTTTCACAATCTTGCCTTACGGTTATACTGTGTCTCTCATTCGCAGCAGAAAACTAGGCCGAAAGCGAAGCCCTTCATCCAGCGCCCCGAGGCTCCGTACAGGAAGCCAGAGGCTCCGAGGCAGCCATACCGGCAGCCGGACCCCCGCAGGGGACAGAGCGCAGCGGGGGTCCTGAAACCCTTCCCGCTGAGACGCCGGTGAGAACAGCTTCAGGAACAACCTGAGCAATGTGTGGATCTCTGTGAGCACAAGGGGAACTCAGATTTGTACATACCTTTTAGCATTATATTTAATGTAATGTTTTTAACAGTCATGCACACATAGTCATTTGCAAACACCTCTTGCCCACGCCCTTAACGTCAAATATTCTGTGAAAAATTACAAAAAGTTAAATTCATAATTTGTTTAATTTCATCTTGGTTTTTTAGCGTTTTTTTTATGCATGTGGGAAATGTTTCTTTGTAAAGTGTCTTTAAGTACTTAAAGCATTATATCAATGTAATGTTATAAAAATTAATAATAATGATTTTACTTATATAACTATATATTTTTTTTATAATTATGGTCATAACACTAATGATAATAATGTATTATTATTATTTTAAATGTATTTTAATACTATTCTATACTTCAATGAGATATGATATTTTGTATAGGGTTTTATTATTTTATATGATCTTCTGATCACTTCCAGAAATAGTGTAAAATCCTCTCATATTTCTTTAAATTATTAGATTCTTACCGCATAGGTCTTTTTTTCCAATCAAAGGCATGATTCAATTATCAAGGTGTGTTCAGCTATGTCAACACACACTGTAATCTACATGAGCTAATTCCTGTAGCAAATGATATACAGCATCACACACAGTTCACATGCAGCTGTACTTAACACCCTGCCCTTTTACTCCTGTAGACCACTGCCCCCTGTCCAGCAGCAGACTCAGAGAGACGCCCGCCAGGCCACCTTCCTGTTCCACAGAGGACTCAAGGTACGGGATGGGTTACATGACATCCAGAGTGTTGAAATGCAGTGTATCCGTAAATGTAACTGAAAGTGTTTTCTGTTTTCATCTCCAATTTTACAGGTGCAGGCCCAGGTGATAAAGCCAAGTCCCCACAGTCCCCACAGTCCCCATAGTCCCCATAGTCCTCACAGTCCTCCAACCAGAACTCGCCAGTGAGTATTATAGGATGACACAGAGTCTACTTGTCTCTAGTGGTTGAATGTCTGTATGTCTCAGTATTAAGTATGAGGAAAGGAAGTTATGTTTGCCAGTGTTTGTGTGCTAAAGCGCAGTGTCTGTGTTTGTCCACCAGGTGGCGCACATCATCAGCCAACAATGGAATCTTGACTGTTTCAATTGACAACCCCACAGCCAGGACTCAGCCTGAGTAAATATCTTTAATTACATTTGTACACAGTGACATCATTTGCATAAGCATGTATTATTTATTACTGCTGTATAGTATTTTATTATATTGCACACAAAGAAATAAAAAAATATCCACCCCCTTCACACACACACCTTGTGATCAAAGTGACTTCTTCCCAGGCCCCCCTCTGCTTGGACCCTGCATCCCCCAGCAGCCATTGCAGCCCATCCGAAGGTAGAAACGGTGGAGAAGAAGATCCCCAAAGGAGTGCCTCTGGAGTTTGACATCAACAGTGTTGGGAAACCGGTGAGAGCGCAGTACTTATCACTATCAGTATGCTTAGATACACAAGCATTGGACTGTTTTAATTTCAATTGTTTGTAAACCCATATTGTCTAAAAAATAAAACAGGGGAAATTAATTTTGAGGAATGAAAAGTAATGAAAGTATTTGAACACCATGAAACACGTCCCATTTTCTTAACCAAGTGCTTAGAAAGTCCTCCGAATTAAAATAAAAAAATATTTTAAAAAGTCTTATGTGATAGGATTTTCCTCAACGTCTAAGTCTGTACACGTTGTCTTCATACTTGGTCTGAATATTATTACTAATGCCGGCTGGTAAAGGGAAAGATCTCTTTTTTACAAGCTCTTCATCTTGGAACTATTTGTCTTTTCAAAATAAAGCGTCATTGCTGGAACTACAGTTAGTAAGACACTGTCTCACTGTAAAGACGGATGCTCTGACGGGTGTCACTGTGACAGCTTGAGAAGTGTTGTGATGGGGGTTTGAGCCCTCAGCGTTGTCTTATCAGGTTATGTTCATGAGTTTGGTCCTGTGTGTGTGTGCAACACTGCATGGCATTACATATGAAGTCTCATCAAATACATATACTGCACTGTATTGTAAATACATATTACATCTATGTAATATTCAAGCCTAAAGAATCACACAAAGTTAGCAGGAAAAAACTATTACAAAAAGCTTATAAATAATTGCTCAAAGTAAAATACACATCAGTTTCCAGCTTCACTGATAAGTTTAAAATGGTGACTTGAATATGTACATTAGATAATAAAAAAAAGACATTAATCACATTTATTTGTAAAAAAAACCCGATAAACTTATTTAGAAGTCCAGAAAACGACGCAAATGTCTTTTAATGTAATTGTGTAATGTCTGTAGGACCACTGAAATCATTTCTCTCAGTAAAGTTGTCTTTTTTGTCCGTGCAGCAAACAGCGCTCACCCTGAACGAGCGGTTCTGCATCCTGAAGGATCAGCGCTCCTCCACAGCACAGAGCGGCAAGGGCAGCAGATTTGTTACCGTTGGTTAGTTGTGAGGCCAATTACCCAGAAGCCTCTTTGTCCTGTTCTACACAGTGCACCCAACCTTCCTGATGGAGGGAACAGACTGAACCACTGACTTTACTAAAGAAAGGGAGGATAACAACACGTGTCAACGGAGGAGTGGTAAAAATATGTTCCCATCATTGTCCTCCACTGTCTGTTGTGGATGTCCGACACCGGGGAGGAAGGAACTCTTTCTCTCCCATGGCCTTGGAACTGTTGACACTATCATGACGACTGTACGGACGCATCTCTCTTCACAGAGAACCGCTATGTGTTTGCAAGGGTGGCACGTATGATCTCTAAACCCTTTTTGTGAGAATTGTTTTGTAATGTTTCTTCAAATAAATGAGTTTTCTCTATAAGGATTTGCACAGGTTAAAATCACTAAAGTTCCATCTGCTCTTGTAATCAACATAACCCAGCCCCCCTCTTCACAGCTTGAGGAACCCACGTTAATGGGTTTAAATGTTGTTAAAGGGAGACGTTGCAGCCTCCTATCTTTGTTTCCATTTGCCTTCAAACTCCTTTTGAAAACAGAGTCCAAACACGTTATCTCCATTTGTTTTGACTAACTTGGAAGGCTGGCTTGATATGCAGCTCGTGTGGTAAGTCCAAAATAAAATGTATTCAAAGTTAAAAACAAAAGATGTACAACTCAAATATGATTAGCAAACTTAGATTGTCCTGTTTTCTTCAAAAATAAACGGTTGAGAACTGCGTCTTGTTGGCGTCTCCCACTCAGGTTGCCAATATCTGTCTCCTCATAGGCTGCCGTTGTGGGAAATGTAGTCTTTTATCTTAAACTAAATATTACAGATTTGACCACCAGGTGGCAATATTATTTGACCTTTGACAAAAACAAAAACCGGCTCTAACAGGACAGTTTCACCAAAATCAACACCATTATAATACAATAACTGTATGATCCAGAAAACAGTGTACATCCACTGGTCCTGATGCTCATCCTAAAGGGAGAAGATAGCTTCCTCTGCTTCACCTTATGAGTCAGACTGTAGCCAGCACTATTGAGTTAGAGGGGAGTTCACAACAAAATAAAACCTTTTTATTTTATTGATCATTCTCGATGTCTCGTGTTGGAGATATCCGCTTTATATGCAACTAATTGGTTTGTGGGGCTCCAAGCACCAAAAAAATACATTTGTCACTGGGTCAGAGACATAACTGTTGGGGTTTTTAATATAGTGCCATTTAGAGACATGTTATTGGAGATAAAGCAAAGTTTTCTACGGCTGATAACGCATACCTAAACAATCTAGATTGATAAATAGCACTTGATTTTATGGCAAATTGTCCCTTTAAAAATTAAATATTGTATTAAACTAGTTAAAATGAGACAAAAAAAACCCATTTTATGGAATCTGAATATTGCTTTTATTTAAATACATTAAAATTTGCAACGTAACAAAACTATTGGCATGTGAATCTCAAACACCATTTAAATGAACAAAACATGGCTCACTTCATTTTTCTGTGACTAGTGTCAGTAACACTAGGTTATTTTTCTCTGCTCCGCATCATCCCCCCCCCTTCTCCCATTTACACTGTTCACAGACTATCTTACAATAAGAGTGCTGAATAAAAATGAGGTAAGAAAGTGGTTTGAAGATTACAGATCATGCAGAACATGCTGACAGCAACAAAATATCGTGTGAAGGAGGAAGTAATTAAAAAAAGAAATACATGTGTGCATTTAAAAATAATCAATTTCTTTACACAGCTTTGCATCTTTGGTTACAAAGTAGGTTGAATGATTTTCACAGCTTCCCCCCCCCCCTCAAGATAAACATTGGGAGGAAAAAAAAAAAGCATGAAGGTGGGGGTGATGGCAATACTAATTCCTTTTTAGATAACAGAATGATATCTTCAAATACCTTTCTGCAGGCTCACGTTACGATTTGATGTTGACGGGTGAAGAGACACCCGTCAAGGCTCTTAATACTTTATATTTGACAAAAATGTACATTCATAGTTGCGGAAAAGGGTTATGGGCACTGTGAATGTGTTTGAGATTCGACCAAGTGATTTATTTATTTTTATTCTGAGAAGAAAAAAAACTTAAGACTTTTTTTCAGAATTTGAAATAAAAATCAGAACAATTACTATTTTTCCTCAGAATTCTATAATTAAAGTCAGAATTCTGACTTATCAGATTTATGAGAATACATTGAGAATTATACTTTTTTTTTCTCAGAATAACATATATTTTTCCACAATTCTCACTTCCTCAAAATTCCAAATATATTTCTCAGAAATATGACTTTTTCTTAGAATCATGAAATTAAAGTCAGAATTCCTATTTTTTTTTCAGAGAATTCCCCCACAAAATCTCAGAATCCTGACTTCCCAGAACTAAATTATTTTAGAACTTTTGTCAGATCGCAAAACAATATCAAATGTGGCCCTAATCCTCTTCCGTACATACTGAATCTGCTGATTTGAGTTAGTGTTAAACATTTGTCAGATTTGTTTTACGCTTACGTTTTCAACAAACGTAAAGCATCAATATTTTGAAAGTATGGCCGATCTATTGAAACACTGAAGAAGAAAGTGGAAACGAGACACCGGGCTACTGTTGGACAGGTTCGTGATATTGTTTAGGCGTGAGAATAGCAGCCCTGTAATAAATAAAGACATGAAAGATGCAAAGGTTGATGTAAAGGTGGTGGCAGCGGTGGTGCGCTCCAAGAAACTCTTTCCCATTTCTTACTGTACAACATGAAACAGCAAGGCTAAAAATACCCCCGTTACCCACTCATATGTCATTTAAAAAAATAATCGCTCTTTTTGACAACCACTCCCGTTTGTCCCTTATGTGAGGTGAAGCCCCCCCTCTTTGTCCGACACCCCTGCTGAGGTCACGGGCCAGTCTGGAGAAGACATCCTGTCCACGAGCTCCCCAGTAGGCTCCGCGGGAACACAGCCAAGATGAAACCAAACACCCTCTTCTACCCCCCCCCCACACACACTTTCTCTGTCTCTCGATGATTGCATTAACACTGGAAAAGGCCCACAAAACACACACACACACACACACACACACACACACACACACACACACACACACACACACGCACAGACACTCAATGAGGTACACACACACACACACACACACACACCACTTTGTGGTCAAGCTGGTGGCTAAGAAGACAATGTTTTGTTTTTTTATCTTCTTTTTTAATTTCACATAAACTAGATGCAATAGATTTTTTTCTTTTCGGATGCACTTCAAGCCGAGGTGACGTTGGGCTGCGGTTGGCTGGGGTCGAGCGGAGTCTGGAGCGGCTGGGGTTTGGGGTGGAGCTGCGGCTGGGGCTGCTGAGGCTGAACTTGAAGCGGAGGCTGGGCTTGCTGCTGAGGCTGGCTGAGTCCTTGGTGGGGGGGGGTGGTGCTGGAGCTGGGGGCCGGCTGTGCGGGCAGCTGAGACAGCTGCTCGCTGTTGGCCAGAGATTTCAACACAGCGTTCTCCTTCTCCAGCACAGAGTTCCTCTCAAACAGCTCCTTGATCTGCTCCTTCAACACCTCCACCTCTTCCCGCACTGCGTACATCAGATGGCTTTTCACCAGGTCCTGCGGGAACACGTGACAAAGAAATTAATATATAGGACCTGACCAGAGGCAGCGGTGACACAAGGATGATTTATGATGTTCAGCATGCAGCAGACAAGGACATCAGAGGGAAGATCAAGGCTACAGGCTACATGTGTTCATGATAGCTGTGTGCCCCTGCTCGACGGCAAAGACGAACAAATATCAAGAGTGCTTGGTTCTTATAAATATTAGAATAAGTAAGAGACAAATGCAATCAGGAACTACCAATAATATAAAGAATTAAGGACAAGTCAAAAGACACAGTATATGTGTATGTCTCTGTCCTTCCATGTAACGGAATACATTCTTACTATACAAATAAAAAGTGAAACAACATTTCTTTCAATCGAATAATCTGCCCATTTGTATTTCAATTACTGGTTTCGACTATAAATATGTCAGAAAATACAAAAAAAACGTGTCCATCCCAGTTCTACAAATTGAATTTTTAAATGTTTATGATGTGAACAGAAAAAACTGTCCTCTGATATTTTTGCATGAAATGTCTTCCAAAAATGGCTTGATTATTAAAATATGCGTTTGGTCCATTGCCGCTCTAGAGAAGTGTACGATGCATGGTAAATAGAGTACTCACCATTGCCTGTTCAATTTTATTGTCAATGGCAGCAACATTGGTTCCCGAGGCCCTGTGAAGAAGAAAAGATGAGGTCCTTTTAAAATTGATCCCAAAGCTTTCAGGATTCAAAACCTCCAGAGGATAGTCATCTTTAACTCTCAGCATAAAAATAAATAAATCAGAAACACCACCACATTAATAAATAAAAGAAAAAAGATTAGACAAGACATTGGTGCTCAATTTATCAAAGCAACCGCTGTGGAATGCCCACAGGAATGCAGACTATGAAATGACTCGTCACCACTCTTGGTCGTACAGTGACATGTGCACTCTGTTTATAGGTCACGGCAGGAGAAATGAAGGAAGCGTGCAACAGCACAACAAAGTAGGTGCAAATGTGGAACTGCTGTATTAGGTGTGCTAATGTCTCAAAAGGCTGCTGGCAACAATAACAGGATGTAGTAAGAAGATGCACTGATGGCGGTGTCAGAGCGAAGGGTCTGCCATGTTTCAGTGCCCTCAAGGACATCTCGAAAGCTCCCATGAAGTGAACTGTCACCTCTCCGATATACAATGTATATATTTCATTTTCAAAGTCGGGCTCAGGGAATTGAATCAGTGACCCTACGGTTCCCAAGCCAAGACCCTACAACAAAGCTGCTGCCTGAGTATTACACACACATTCTCCCACCATCTATTAAAGTATATATGATGACGCAAGTTGCGTGTCAAGACCTGTGAATCTTAACCAAATTAGTCACCAGTGACAACAATTAACCCTACCCCTAACCCCCCGTTACCTGCGGTGGGTCCGGTAGGAGAGCAGCGGGCTGCAGGTTGCATGCCAGCCGGGGGCCTCGGGGCAGCACGGGGGTTTGTAGGAAAAAGTGCACGGCATGGTGCTGCCTGCGGCTGAAGCTACATCGAGAGCAGCGAGAGAGGAAAGGGCTACCGGAGTGCACTCGAGGGGGCTTAGTGGGTGACTGTGACCACTTTTAGAATAATGTAACATGAACCGACGGGTGAGATGTCAAAGGAGCTGACAGGAGGCGGGGAGACACGTCAACTCCGCCCGCTTACAGAGCCTGTCTGCTGAGGACAGTAACTGCAGGGTGTACGGAGGCCCACAAGTGCCAACTATTAATACATTCAACTCTGTTAATTAAGCTATTTAAAAAGGGCCAATACAATGCGCTAACAGATAAATTGTTGCAGTTCTAAAAATGAACCTTAGAATTATAAAGTTTAAAAATAAAAAAACATGTTGTGAAACTACAATTTACAATCACAACTTAAATATATATTGACTGCTCAGTAATGTTTCCAAAACCACTTATATCAAAAACAAATGGCGATATCAGATCAGTTAAAATGTTCGAAATCAGAGCGATCTGACCAGACCAGAATGACACACAAAACTTCCGGGTCAACAACATCTCCATCAGCTATTATTAACTTAGAATTGCTTATAACCCATTTTGGTATTTACAAGGTTAGGTAAAAAAAATAAAAAAACACCAATGCAAAAAAGCTCAAGGTATATTTTAGAAACTGTGTCACCATAAAATAGTTCCTCCACCAGAGGGGCCCGACAAGCTTTTATCTTAACTGGGAGTGTGGCACTCTAAATCAACATGAGCCTGTAAACTAAGATTTGGGCTTGTTAACGGAAATATTTCTCGGCCCATTGGTGGATGGGGCTCAGGAATCTAGTATCTGTTGAAGATTCCTAAACTTGGGTTGACGTCTGCGACAAAGGACGATGGGAAGACGTTGAAGACCAATGCAAGTAAACAGCAGGTTAATTAGAGTATAGACCCCCCCCCGAGGGCACAATGTTCTGTTCCTCCACACACCATCCAATGTATGTGTGTGAGTGTTAGGCCAGCGGAAGCACTCAGTAGATTGCCATCAGTGGGCTGTACCAAGGAAGGAATGTTCCCCATACCTCTGCTGATATGAAACACTGTCAATCTCCTGTCCTACAGAACATGCCTTTGATCCCTGTCAGATAGAACCATGTCTAACACACGTTACCTGAGAGAACATCATACAATGAACAATGCAGACATGTGTTGAATAAGATACATAGTGTCTCTAGCCTATACCAACAGACACACACCCATCTCCTGAAGATGTAAATTACAAATAGGAATGTACTTCTCAGCAGCCAGGGCTCACTCATCAGTATTATGTGACCCCAGGAGCGGTTACATAACCAAATGAAAAAAATTCAGATGTGGCCCACCTATAGTTGGCTCCCAAACAGGGGTTTTAAATAGGCCTGTACCCAGAGGAGTCTGTCACTGTAAAGTACAGTCCATGAATGGGCTACACCCCTTGTTGCTTCACATAGTGCAGACAAAAACACGCATAACCATTAACAGAATCATACTGTAGCTGTAGAACATATTGAATTCAACATACTGTATATTCAGTACACAGGGCAAGATGTCACGGTTGCCAGGTTGACATTGGCAAACATTTCTGGACTTTACCAATTGTTAATATGTAAAGCAAAATGTACAGCAAAAGGTGGACCCAAAACTTTCAGTATGTGTTGGATTAGTAAGTATTGCTGTTACAACCGGTTCTAAACACGGTACACGCGGGCACGGGTGCGGTACATGAATCTGTTTCAGTGACAAAAGTAAAGCAAATTAGATTGTCAGAATGGGCTGAAGAGTTCAACTGACTAAGAACCAGCTCAAATTAAAATTGTTAAGTTCGGGAGGCAGAGTAGTCTGGCGTCTGAACTGACAGCTGAGATTGTACTGCATTACTTGTATAAATTTCATATGTTCATTGTATGGCTAACGTGTAACTGCATACTTTTTTTATCATTTAAAATATAGGGATTTTCAGTTTTGTCCCCAAAAAGAAGATACCTGGTTGCCATCCTAGAAACACATTTTTAAAAGTTAGTGTTGAGTCCATGTAGAGTAACTTATCAGAAATGGCCAAATATAAACCTTCTGAAATTGTTCAAACATCTGAAAATAATTCAATCAATTCACATAACTTATCTTTAAAAAAAAAAAAGTTTTATCAAAATGTTATTGCTTCCTTATTTGAAATCAAGCCAAGCACAATCAATTAGAGATGTGAATTAAATGTGTAAGCTGTTGCAAGTTCACAACAAATTAAAAAGGAGAATGACGAAGCACTATCTTTATAAAAAGTGCGGGAACCTCAACAATTGCTACATTATTAAGGAAACGCTTACCATTTTTTATTTGTGGACATAACTGTCCGGAGAATTCTGGATTCAGATGTGAACTGAATATTTTCTTTATGATTCACATTCAATTTTCATGATTCGACTCATGATGGCTGGAAAGACAAATGCAGTGAACGAGAACAAGAATTAAACTGATGGTAGCATTTTAGAATGAGTGTAGTTAATGTAGCAAATGCAGCCGTTCTGCAGACATAAATTCACCAAAGTGTTTCCTGATGTGGACAACAAAGGGCAGACGCTCCCTGGATTATAGAAGAAACAGACCAAAGTTGCAATTTTGGGAGAAAAAGTACATCTGGGGAGGGAAATGTTGGCGTATCTTCATGTGACAACTTGTATCCAAACAACAGTAAGTGCTGAGAGGCATATTACGCAACCATCTAGAGCTTTGCACTATTGTCTAATCTGCAGCATTTTTTTTATTACGTTCCAGACGATTGTCTGTCAGACAATAGTAGAAATTCCCATTAAAAGAATGCTTCCGATGTATTTTCAAATTGCTTATTTTGTCCAACCAAAACACAATATCATTGAGTTTACTGCAACAAACAAGGGCAGTCTTACACCAAAGACAATGTTGTATTCACATGCTTTTCAGAATGGTCCAATTTAACAAGTTTGGAAGTTCTTCAGACAAGGTGGGTTCAAGTCGTGATATGGACAAAAACTCTGCTCTTTTTTCGTAATCCTTCCGACAGAAGAGGACAAAATAAAACATTAACTCCTTGGCGGAGGCAATTGTTACCGATTTATTTTCTGCCAATTGACTACTCAACTTATAATTTCAGCGTTGTCATCCAGCTTGACAGTGATTCTTTGTTTTGGCTCCTTTTTTCTCCAGCTGGCTTTAGTGGAGGCAATAATAAGATGGAATGACACCACTTAGATCAAACCAGGGAATACAAAGAGAGGAAACTCAAAACACCAATGTGACCGGTCGCCTGGGACATGTGATGGGCTAGTGATGAGTTTGTAGCTACGGAGACTGGAAAACATCAACACAATAATACTTCTAAAGGTGTGGGACGGATTACCACAGTGAAGTAAATCTGAGTGAAAGTTGGTCGAGTTTGTTGAGTCTCGATGGTTTTGGGCGGCTAATCGTCACATTTCTCGTTAAATCGAATCAGGCCAGAATAACAACGAACTGAATGAAACCGTATAAGAACACAATCTGGCACTCCAAGTAGAACTTCCAAGAACAACTGGCACTGGGGGAGTTTTTGGAAACCAACATGAGTGAGGTTACCACACATGAACTTGTTTAAACCTCTAGATGTCAAGTCAGAGCAGAGAACTTGCTTGAGCTGCTTACTTAAAACACAACGTGTTGAATGCACAGTAAATCCTCCTCTAGTTTTTTCCAGCGTTACAAAGCAAACAGTATATAACAACGGTAAGTATGGTCAAACTCCAGAGGACTATGGGCTGGGTTAAAAAACAGAACGCTAATGAGGGTTTCAACTTACCCCGACACTGATTATGCAACAAACGCTTCTGTGAACGTCACGGGACAGACATTTATAATAAGCCACAGGTAGAGTTTGGCGTTTCCCTTACAATGCTGTAAAGTAGGATTGTCAATAAAAAAGTCCATTAGCCACAGAAAAGTTTGCACCCACACAGGGGCAAGTTTTGAGGGTGAATAACTCATGTGGACATTGAATAGTTGTCGGCTGTTGCCTGTGGCAGAACTGCTGGTATATTGAAGAGCAAAAAAGGGTTTTCTTCAGCAAAACAGTAACAACAAAGACAAGTATTTTACTCACCCTGAGACATGCCAAGACAAGTTCAGAGTGTAAGAGGTGAGGCCGGATTTATGTGCACAAGGATAACAGGTGCACAATCTTAACTAAATGCCTGTGTTTCTTAGCTTTAAATTGTAGTTTTAATTAATCTAGATCTTACATTTCTAACACAAGCTGACATAAACACCTTAAGTAAACAGAGCATGTTTTTTTACCCACTCGTATCACATGTGAATGTATTCACTTTCGTTTTATTCAAACAACTTCCGCCATTTGTGACACATTTTATTGCACAGCTGTGGTATTGGTATTCTGCCCGCAGAGAATTAATAAGGAAGTGCGAAAAAGCTACAATCAAGCAAGCATCCAAACTATTCAAGAAGTATGACTCAGGTGTAATAACAGAGTGAGCAATAGATGATAGGAGATGGTTATGGAGGCTGTCTTTTTGAAGTTTACATTTTGCATAACTTGGAAATATAATGGAAACAATTACAAGTTAAGGAAAAATAAATAGAAAAAAAGTTGAATAGATAGGTTTTTTATCCTGTTTTTTTCCATAATTGCTATACTAGAATGGTTCTGGTTTCAATTTCGTAATAATTTAAAGGGGACATGTTATTCTTTTTTTCAGGCTCATTCATTTTGACATGGCTTTATGTTCAAAAGACACATTATTTTTGTTTTACTGTCTATCTGAATATACATCCTCTGCCTGAAAGGCCCTGTTTAAGCAGCTTTTCCTTTAAGTCCCCCTTCCAAAAACAGCCCAGTCTGTCCTGATTGTCTTGTGAGAAAAACTTTTGGTGCACCTCTGCAAAAGTAGTTCTCAAGCCGTGGGCGAAATATCGACTTTAAAAATGTCTACAGTAATGCTAGTTGTTTACAGCAGCATGCTAGCATACTACTGATGACAATGCCAAAACAGATGTGTTTAGTATGTATTTCGTGGCCATGTGTATTATCTTTATTTTATACTCTGCCAGGAAGATGTGCCAGGTAAGCCATATGGATGAACACAAGATAAAGATAAGATATATGTTATTTATCCTAAATTAGGAAATGTTTTCGTTGGGGAACATTTTGACAGCCCCGTTTTTTTTGCAATGCATTGTGCACACTTTGCATTTGAATAGTATATTCCATCAAGAAAAGGTGTCATCCAGATCAGTTTTCCTATATGGAGAACTTTATGGTAAATAGGATCTGTATGTTGCATGTTGTCCCACCCACACCCCGTGTACTCTCTCTCCCCATTTCCTGTCTATCTTCAGCTTTGCTAAATATAGACAGTAAAGTAAATCAAAAAAAGGAAAAAACTAAAACTGCTTGTATAGGATCATGCAGAATTGATGCCTCTGGGTAATGCAATAAAGGAACGCTCTTTCAATAATCAGAGTTGTATTTGTCTGCCCTGGGCTACCATAGAAACATGGCGGTGCAACATGATGGACTCCGTAAAATAAACGTGTTCCTATGTAAATATGAAAGGCTCATTGTAAGCAAACAAAGGTTTCTTAGTATCAGGTGATTACACACCAATGAAATCATAGTTGAGAATATTATGGTCTGCTTCTGCCAATAAATCCCCCTAAATCCTTTAATATCAAACAGGTTTGAACATTTTTCACACTAGCCCAACACAATATATGACTTCATCTGGTTGCTTCGGACCTGATCCCATATAATACCAATAAAATAGACTGATTTAGGGTCAATACCAAAGGCCATCACCATGAGCTACCAAACTGTCTCAAACAAAGCCCTGGTTATTTTTTCCACGGAAACAAAAACAACCCTTGGCAGAACAGCGTATCCACAACAGAAATAGAAAAAAAAGTGAAGCATGGGGCCCATAACAATTTTATAATTTTTGCAGAGTGGGAGGGGAAATCACCTAAAATCAGGAAAATTGAGTGTGTGTGTGTGTGTGTGTGTGTGTGTGTGTGTGTGTGTGTGTTTTGTTCCTTGGAGGCTAGTGATGGTGTGTCAGCTCTATATTTCTCTAAAAACAGTTTCATTTCCTGTCCACAGTTATAGTTTCATGTCCTTCCCTTTTCATTTTTGAAAGACGCATGGTAAAAATGTTGAAAGCACTCACTATTTTGTGACAGGGTAGCTGTTAAAACACAAGGGCAGAGTCCTCATACTACAGTATCCTTTATGATTTAAACAGCTTGTTGATGCATTTATAATGTAACTGATTCAAATGTATTTGAAAGACATGGTGACACAGTGGAGAGTGTTGCAGTACAAAGCAGGCTGTTCTTACTTTGTGTAAGTGTTACAGATGGCATGCACACACATTTAGGCTAGTCTCATCGACTTAAAATCAAAAGCAAATGGAGTATGTTAGCATTTTTAATTTCTAACATTAGTTCAATAATTATAGTTTGGCCATTTCTATAAAAGATCAAAACATTACTAAACAAACTACCTTCTGAGATATTGGGAAGTTATTCAGTACAGCACGCAACATGAGCATTCTGATGATCAGATAGTTTTACTAAATTACTAACTGGGAAGTTGAATACATGAAAAAGGTTCAAAATGTCTTTAAAGATGTCACTTCCTGCTTAAAATGTTATCATTTATTGTTAAAGAACTATCAGTTTTCACAATGGACAATTAGGACGGATATTTTGGGTTAGGGTTAGGTATGTTCGAATAACCTTGCGTAGATAATTGGTTTAGAACTAAAATGATCCAACAGAAATTCATTGGCAAATATTTGATTATTAATTGTTTTGAGCTTGAGTGAACCAATACAAAAAAATGTGCCCATTATCTGGTGCTGCTTTGTACAATACTAACTATATTACATCGTTTTTGAAGCCAACACTGATTAAGTTATTTCAGGGTTCCAAATATCCGGTAACATATCTGTCACTCAAACATTATCAATTCGAGAATGGATTTGAAGTTGAGAGACAATGTTGACAGGGAAATGCTATCCATCTCATCTGCTCTTTTCCACCTGGATTGTTTACCTGCATTCAACATAGGCCCGCTCCAATGTAATTTAGTGGGAATGCTGATACAACATTCCAACTACTTTATTCTTATTCCGCCGGGTTATTTTGACGCTCTTCTGCTCCCACATTCCACATCACAGAAATGTCGTTCAAACATCAAAACGTTCAGCTTGGTCGGGAATCGATTGCTATTACTTTTGTCATTCATAACTTTCATAATTCATAATTCAAAATGGAAGTCAATGGAGAAACTCTTCAGACTTGAAAAATCTTCATGCGACTTCAACTGCTAACTGTT